TTTGCCTGCTCCTTCTCCCTACGCTGGTCCGACTGGAGGTCTTACTGAGCGTCGTGAGCCTGCGTCTCGTCCTGCGTCGCCTGTTCGTACTGCGCGCGCTAGTGGTCGCGGTTCGCGTCAGCGTCCTCCTCCTGTCCCTGGCACACACCGGATGTCACTGCGTCCGTCCACTGCTCCTCTGCGTGCCCCTTTGCCTTCTCCTCCTGCTTCCTCTCTTCCTGCTCTTGCCGACCCGGAGTCGGACTCTCTTCGTGCTGCCAGTCCTACTGTCACGCGTCTCCTTGCTACTGCTGTCACTGACCCTTCCTTCGAGTCGTTTGCTGCGTCTGCCCTTGTCACTGAGCTTGTCGACTTTGCTGCACGCTGTCGTCTAGACTACGCTGCCAGTCTTGTCGCTGAGTCTGAGTCTGCCTGTCCTCCGTCCGTCGGGGGTGAGTGTGCCCTCGGCACGGACGTCCTTGAGGACAGGCAGGAGGAGTTCCAGTGTCTGGCAGCCGCTTCACCTCATCTCGCGTCTGTACTGCTAGCCCGTGAGGGAGACCCGGATGCACCAGACATCCCGACTCCGCGCTCTTACGCGGAGGCGATAGAGGGTCCCTACTCCTCTCAGTGGCAGGCAGCTATGGATGCAGAGATGGCTTCCTGGAAGTCCACAGGCACCTACGTCGACGCTGTTCCCCCTCCTGGGGCGAACATCGTCAGTGGCATGTGGATTTTCAGGGTGAAGCGGCCGCCGGGTTCACCGCCAGTCTTCAAGGCGCGTTACGTGGCTCGTGGCTTCAGTCAGCGGCAGGGGGTTGACTACTTTCAGACCTTCTCCCCCACCCCGAAGATGACTACTCTTCGGGTTCTGCTGCACGTTGCTGCTCACCGTGACTACGAGCTGCACTCTCTCGACTTCAGCACAGCTTTCTTGCAGGGCAGTCTGCACGAGGAGATCTGGCTGCGTCGCCCACCTGGCTTCACTGGGTCTTTCCCTCCTGGTACCCAGCAGAGTCTCCGGCGTCCAGTCTACGGTCTCCGCCAGGCGCCTCGTGAGTGGCACGACACACTGAGGACTACGCTCGCGGCACTTGGGTTTGCTCCGTCTACTGCCGACCCGTCGCTGTTTCTGCGCACCGACACCTCTCTGCCGCCGTTCTACATCCTCGTGTACGTCGACGACTTGGTCTTTGCCACAGCTGACACTGCTGGACTCGCCTACGTGAAGTCCGAGCTGCAGAAGAGACACACGTGCACTGACCTGGGTGAACTGCGTAGCTACCTTGGCTTGCAGATCACCCGGGACAGAGCGCGCCGCACCATTACCCTGACTCAGTCACACATGGTGCAGCAGGTCCTTCAGCCCTTCGGCTTCACGTACTCCTCGCCTCAGGCCACTCCTCTGCCTACTCGCCACTCACTCTCAGCTCTGCCTTCGGATGAGTCCGTAGAGTCGAGTGGCCCGTTTGCAGAGCTTGTTGGCTGCCTCATGTACCTGATGACCTGCACACGTCCTGACCTTGCATACCCTCTTAGCATTCTCGCACGCTATGTTGCTCCTGGGAGACACCGACCAGAGCACATGGCTGCAGCGAAGAGGGTGTTGCGCTACTTGTGCAGCACGTCGGGCATGGGGCTAGTTCTTGGAGGGCGCAGTCCAGTGGTCCTCACTGGGCACGCAGACGCTTCTTGGGCTGACGACCAGGCTACGCAGCGGTCGTCACAGGGTTACACCTTCAGCCTTGGTTCCGGCTCTGTTTCGTGGCGGGCTACCCGCTCGTCTTCTGTTCTCGGCTCCAGTTGTGAGGTTGAGATATACGCTGGGGCTATGGCTGCGCAGGAGTTACGTTGGCTCACCTACCTGCTGACCGACCTTGGAGAGCAGCCTCGTTCTCCTCCAGTTCTGTACGTAGACAACAAGGCCATGCTGGCCTTGTGTCGAGAGCAGCGACTTGAGCACAGAACGAAGCACATTGCTCTCCGCTACTTTCTTGCTCGTGAGCTACAGCAGCGTGGACAGTTGCGACTTGCGTACGTGGCCTCTGAGGCCAACACTGCTGATGTCTTCACCAAGGCACTTGCGCCTTGTGATCATCAGCGTTGCTGCACGCAGTTGGGTCTTGTGCCTGTCTTGCCTCACTTGCTCTCCTCTTGACCTTGCTTGTACCTTCGCATATATATACTCTTGCTCTTGTATATCTCTATATATGATCTTGCATGTGAACTGGCCTTGTGGCCTTTGAACTTGTGCTCGGAATGCGTGGTGACTTTGTGATCCACCCTGAGCTTTGCTTTTCTTTGCTTGACTGGTCTTGTGACCCCTTGTTCTCCCCCACTTTGCCTATGGGGGTGTGTCAGAACATATAGCTTACTTGTTTCTGTAGGCTATAGTGGGGTATCCCATAAGGGGTACAACCCAATCAGGGTTTCCCATTTGTACTCACTTCGTTCATAGTCATTCCATTCTTGTTCACTTCTTCTCACAATATCCTCAGAATCGGTTTTGCGGCATTGATCAACAATCTTGAAGTGAAGTCAGACCCCTGATTTTGTTTCACATCTTTTTTGTTTTTTGTTTTTTGTAATATATCATATCATAAGATCTGGCTATTATATAGGATTTTCCTTTGAGGAGACCCCCCCCCTTTTTTTCCAGTGGTTCTCATAATACCCTAGGGTGTTTTATCCGGGAGAATACGGTACTCCTATCTTTCAATCATCTTGTTCTCTTTCAATTATTACTCAACAAGGTCACTTCAGAGACTTCATCGTCTCCTCTCAGACCTAACATATTCTATACTATCCACTGGATTCTTGGTTGTATCAGCACTTGAAATATCTCACGCATGTAAAAAAAAAAAATCTTCCATTTAGTTTAAAGATTGCTTCTTTGTTATTTGGAAATTGAGGGTTTTTTTCACTTCAGGACAGTATACTCATGGATATTGTTTTATTTATACAGATTTATGAGCAGAATTTTTTCATGAAATTTCTACATCGGTTCTGTGTAAAAAGATTGAAAATTGAGTACCAATTCGTGAATTGTAATTCTGTACCGAATCACGATATGAAAGAATTCAGGGTCGAGAACGCTATTGGCGGATCAGACACTAGGCGGCACATTTTTGAATGAGTGTGGCGTGCTACATGTTTAAAACTGGATGAAGTCCGGACAACCGTCCGAGAACGGTTCAGATTCCCAATCTCGGGCAGTACGAGTCCAGCGTCCGGACTAAACCTCGTCCGACGTTGTAGATAAAACATTTTTAACCTGACGAAATTCTAGTGTTTGCGAGGTTGTAACCTCGATTACGATCAGACTACGAGAAAGGTAACACCAAAGCGTCTTGAAGACTTTAATCGCTGACCAATGAATCTGCGTTACTGCTACGTCCGTCCACTAATCGAACTGTAATCGTCCGGTCCATTTGGGAAGGCAATTCGCGCAAAATGTTCCATTACTGGTCCGATTGTTAACGACGTCGCAAGTGGTCTAGCGAGGAAATTCACGAAATACAACGAGAAGGTTAAAAAAGTCCGGACGACTGCCAGTCCGGACAGGCTGAAGTAATAAATGTAACACGCCCTAAAAGATCCGTGTCGTCAAATCTCAGAAATCAAACCCAGTCTGACCAGATCGTACCGTTATACACCGTCCGATCAGCTTTCAAATCTCAAGGTTGTGCAATACCTCTTGCTGCTTGCAAATCTCTGGGCGGTGCAATGTCTGTCTCACTTTCACCCTCTGAGCCAGCAAAAAGCAGGAAACCGTAGACTTGCTAGTCTGCTTTGCTATCCTGTGACTGAGCGTGTACCCCGCCAGGTACGGGTTATAACGTATGTGTGATGTAGAACACGGTTTTACACCGCCAGAGGCTCTCTCGTCTGTGGAACATTGAAATATCGAACGCCAGTGCGTGTCTGCCCGCTTCGCGGTCCATCTGCTGTTCCGATCGAGGGGTCTACAGCGTTCACAGAACCCGCCGACATCAGACCGTTGCGAGGTCGTTCCCGTAGGATCGTAACTAGCTACATCTGACAGGACTCAGTTGCCAGAAGGAGAGAGTAATTACTATTACGTGACTAGTACTCCCAAACGACGACTTCAGAAACTGTGCTCCTAGTATTAATCATGTTTTCGGAACAGTTCTGACAGCTCGCACAACCATGCACAAGTAGTCGTGTCGTCCCGCCTCGCACTACTAGATCTCGCTGTAGTCGCGGCTGATGTTTTGGCTATGTTGATGGCTAGCCGTCAATTGACTCCAGAGCATGCAGCGAGATTTGGACTAGTTCTACCGACCAGAGACTAACGCCTATGGTCGGTCACCAGAGACTTCAGCGTTCTTGAAGCATCGCCTGCAGATCGCCTGAGATGATCTCATGTCGTCCAAAAGCGTGTTCGTTTAGCTGACTAGAAAACACACGATGCCTGGTGGCATTCGTCTGCAGATAGTTCGAGACGTTCAGAACAACCTGTAACAAACTCGTTACATCTGTCAGCCCATTTCTGAAAGAGCTACAAGTTCCAGCCAGCCTTGATGCGCGGCAACATTCGTCTGCAGCAGGGTGACTTTTGAATCGACTCAGGCTCAGAGAACTCTTAAGTTCCAGCCAGGCTTGATGGCTGGCAACATTCGTCTGCAGCGACGGCTGCAGCGCAAGGCGAAGGCGCGGCGGCAGCAGCTGAGCTACCGCACGATTCGCTCCGCGTTCCTCGTCGCCGCGCTCTGCTCCGTCACGTACGCCTGGGTTATCTTCCTCAAAGGCTCCCGACCATACGTACGTACAGTGTTGCGACACCCTGCATCACCTTTATCTGAAGGAACCGAACAACTCAGGGTATACCTTTTTCCTTCTCTTCATGAACCCCCGCTGTCACATTGTGTGCCCCGCAGTGGTGGTGGGTTCCCTCCACGAACGCCCATCCACGGGCGTCCATCTTGAGCTCACTTATAAGGCGCCTTAAAACTCTCCCTCCGCTTCCCCCTCACCTGTGTATACACTCCCCAGTGGTGATGGGGTCCGTCCACGTGCGACCATGTGTTGATGAGTTAAATTCTAGCTCACCTTTTGAACCTACTCAAATCACCCTTCTCTCCTCTCACTCCCCTCCCCCACTGCCCTTGACTATGCCCCCGCAGTGGTGGTGGGGTCTGTCCACGGGCGACCATCCAGAGCTCATCAAGGCCCGCTTCGCCAGTGTAAGCACCGTACTGTACCGTACTGTACCCCCTTGCAGCGCCCCGTTGCCAGCACCGTCTTCAAAACATCTGTTTCAGTCGCAATCGTCTGCAGAGACCTTTCTCAACCTGCTTCAATCCAACTTCATACGCCTCCCTGACCTGTCATGCTGCTCTTGTTTCTCCTTCCGTCCGTGCGGCGAGCCATTCCTTGAGGCTGCAGAGAGCGCATGAGCCAGCAACTCTGTGGGACAACCCCGTGAAGGGCAAGTGGCAGCAGTGCGTGCGACCCTCCCCTGCATACGCTGGTGAGTTAGTTGGCTTTCCCCCCTCCCCAGCGTATGCGTTTGGGGGAGGCAAAGTAGAGAGAGTATCAGTCTAAGATTCACCTAGTCATGCTCTCCTCTGCGTGTCCTGTGTGTTTTGTCACACTGCCACGTCATGATGACACCCCTCCGTAGCCTGCCTGGACTTACAAGTTCCTGCCCCTGGTCTTGGCCATTCAACCTCCCTTCGTACTGACGCGCCACCCCTCTTCTTTGCCTGCCTGCCTGCAGACACACCTTTTTACGTGTCAACGGGGTATCTGCAGGTGTTACCTGGGGAATGTCAAGTATTTCCTCTCATGCCGCCCTTTCTTACCACCCTGCAGACGCACCCCTGTACAAGTCAACGGGGTATCTGCAGGTGTTACCTCAGAAACTTCGATTATCCCCCCTCATGCCGCCCTTTCTTACCATCCTGCAGAAGCGCCCCTGTACGAGTCAACGGGGTATCTGCAGGTGTTCTTGGATGGTGGCCTCAACCAGCAGCGCATCAGCGTAAGCCGTTTTGCACCCATCTCTATCCATCTGCACCCTCCTGTATAAAACTTCACCCATACGTATTGTTCTGCAACCATATTCAGTGATCAGCACCCATCTCTACTGATGCAGCTGAAACTCCTGTGGTACTCGCCTGCTACTCGCCTGCTACGCGCCTGTGCAATGTGATAGCTCATCATTTATTCAACTCAAGATGTCAATGTCTCTCCTCTCGTCCTCCCTCTCTGCCTCTCTCTGTGTGTGTCAGATCCGCAATGAGGTGGCAGTGGCGCGCCTGCTCAACATGATGATTGGAGTCACTCAAGAATCAAAGTCTCTCTTCTCTCTCTCCCTCTCTGCCTGTCTCTGCGTGTGTCAGATCTGCAATGCGGTGGCAGTGGCTCGCCTGCTCAACGCCACTCTGCTCATCCCTCACTTTCAGATCAACCCTGTGTGGCTCGACGACAGGTAACAGTACTTTTAGATAGTACCTTATGGCCTTGTTCAGCTGGCGCATCAGCTGATGCGCCAACAGGCTCGGGGATGGTGCAGCCATACCAGGCGGGGAGGTTTGGGTTTTTTTTCGACATGCCAAAATGTTTAGGGTTTCGAGGAAGTCATACAGCGCATGCAGCCAAAATGTCGTGGGCTTCGCGGTAAGTCGTTCAGCGCGAAATTGGCCAATGAGGTTGCCCTGCACCAGCTGATGCTCCCAATTGCTAGGAGATGAAGGTTCCTGGAACAGGGCGACATTTGAAATTTCAAGGGTAAAAAGGCTGTTCGGCAGCATTCTGAATTCGTTAGCTTCGGCAGCCATGCGCTTATCTCGAGCCTTGATAACCTCTCAACAGGTTATCAAGGAAGGTTCACGGATGGTCGTTTTACTGTTGCCATCCGGGCTTATGCGCCAACCGAGCTAAGCCTATAGGTGATACATTGCATGCCGCTGACTTGAAACAGTGCCTGTTAAAAGGAAATCAGAGCAGTAAGTATAACTGACCCGGACCAGGTGCAGCAGAACACCAGCAGCCTCTCCAACGGGTTCAAAGCGGACCATTTCCCTCCTATCACGTTTCCCTCCTGTGCTTCTCCTTCCCCCAACCCTCCTTTCACCCTGTTCCCCTCCTCTTCCCGATCACAGCCAGTTTGAGGACATATTCGATATAGAGCACTTCTAGAGGTGACTTCTGAGTCGTTCAAAAAGTCATCCTCCCTCCCCCCTTTTGAGTCGTTCCCTCCTCCTCCTACTCCCCTTCACCTTCCCAGCCAGTTCGAGGACATATTCGATGTAGAGCACTTCATGCGCTACCTACAGCGCGACGTGCTGATAGTGAGGCAGCTGCCGCACAAGTACCGGTGGAGCACGCGGGAGTTCTACAGCACGGGCGTGCATCAGAACCGCATCAAGTTCGCGCCCATGCACGCCTCCCCCGAGTGGTACCTCAAGAACGTGCTGCCGAAGCTGCAGCGGTGAGTGCTGGGTGCACTTGGCTAAAAGTCACTGATTGGAAGGGGTCTGCCCCCATGCACGCCTCCCCGGCCTGGTACCTCAAGAACGTGCTTCCAAAGCTGCAGCGGTGAGTTCTGGCAGGCACTGACCTTATTGGTGGAGCACGCGGGAGTTCTACAGCACGGGCGTGCATGCATCAGAACCGCATCAAATTCACCCCCATGCACGCCACGCCTCAGTGGTACCTTAAGAACTTGCTGCCAAAGCTGCAGCGGTTAGTGCTGGTTGACACTCGCACTCAGCTAAGTGCTTCTCTTCAGAAGCCGTTCCCCCCTGAACGTGCACGCATCCCCTCAGTAGTACCTCAAGAACGCACTGCCGAATTGCAGCGGTAAGTGCTGCAGGACACTTAGCTTAATAAATTGATTGAGCTGTAAGCTAGGTTGAAAGCAGTGTTTCCTCCATGCACGCCTCCCCTGAGCTGTTCATTGTGACAGTCCTGCTGACACAGGCACCTGACACCTGCCCCTCCCGTCCTTCACCTGCCCCTCCCGTCCTTCACCTGCCCCTCCCGTCCTTCACCTGCCCCTCCCGTCCTTCACCTGCCCCTCCCGTCTCTCTTCCACCCTTCCCCTCCTTGTTCTTCCCTCCATCCGCTCATCCCCACTCCTCCACCTGCACCTAGCGTGGTGGCGAGCACTCTTCACCCCACCCCGTGAAAAAAGAAGAGTTTTGAGACGTGAAAAAATCTCTTTTTTTCACGTGGCTCCACTCCTCCGCCTGCACCTAGTGTGGTGGCGAGCACTCTTCACCCCACCCCCTCACCTTTGACTGGCTGCCCCCCTTCCTCCCTCCCCTACCCCTCTCCCCTTACTTCCCTTCCCCTGTCAGCCATGGCATGGTGGCATAGCGCCCTTCACGCACCGCCTTGCCTTTGACAAACTGCCTCTTTCCCCCTCCTTTTCCCTCTTTCTTTCTCTTCCCCTCTTTCTTTCTCTTCCCCCCCCCCCCGGATCAGCCATGGAGTGGTGGCAATAGCGCCCTTCACCCACCGCCTTGCCTTTGACGGGCTGCCTCCAGACGTGCAGCGCCTGCGCTGCCGTGTGAACTTCCATGCGCTGCGATTCGTGGAGCCCGTCCGCAGGCTCGGGTGAGTGACTGAGGCCTTGGGAAGTGGAGGCTCGGGTGAGTGACTGAGGCCTGGGTGAGTGGAGGATCGGGTTAGTACCGGTTGTGCGTGTGATCAGGGGTTCAGAGCAGAGGTGCAGCTCCTGCGCTGCCGAGTCAACTTCCATGCGCTGCGATTCGTGGAGCCCATCTGTAGGCTCGGGTGAGTGGTGGAGGCTCGGCTTGATGATTGGTGGAGGCTCGGGTGAGTGTTGGAGGCTCGGGTGAGTGGTGGAGGCTCGGGTGAGTGTTGGAGGCTCGGGTGAGTGGTGGAGACTGGGGTGAGTGAAGGAGGCTCAAACATACGACCCTTTCTTTCCCTCTCACTCATACTTTTTTTTCTTGTCCCCCCATAAAATTATTATGTATCCTCCCAGGAAGATTTTAGTGGAACGTCTGAGGGACCCCAACAGACGGCATGTGAAGCGCGGTGTGCTGTTTGGGAAAGGGGGAGATGTGACCGTATCCTCGAATCCCTTTCCTGTCTCTCTCACCCTTTCTCCCATCCACCTGTCTCGTTCTCCCAGGAGGATTCTGGTGGAGCGACTGAGAGACCCCAACAGGCGGCATGTGAAGCGAGGGGTGCTTTTTGGGAAGGGAGGTGATGTGTCGAGTTATGGCGGCAAGGGGAAGGTGGGAGGGATTGGGGAGGGAGCAGCGGAAGGAGAGAAAACAGCAGCAGCGAAAGAAGCAGAGGACGAATCTGAGAAAGCGGCAGAGATGGCAGCAGCGAAAGAAGCAGAGATGGTGGAGCAGTTGCAGGAGGAGGCTCGTGCTGGTGCTGGTGCTGGTGCTGGTGCTGGTGCTGGTGCTGGTGCTGGTGCTGGTGCTGGTGCTGGTGCTGGTGCTGGTGCTGGTGCTGGGGTAGGAGAGGATGGAAAGAGGGCGGAGATTGTGAGTGAAGGAAGAGAGGAGACGAAGGAAACGTTTAAAGAGGCTCTTGCAGGGGAAGGAGAGGGGAAGGGAGGGCGGGAGAGGGAGGAGGGTGTGGGTGGAGGCGATGTGTCAGGTGCTGCTGGTGTGAGGGTGATTGAAGATGGAAAAGGCCTGTCTGGGATATCGACTCGTGCAGATGGTGATGGTGATGGTGATGGTGATGGTGATGGTGATGGTGATGGTGATGCTGGTGGTGGTGGTGATGCTGGTGGCTTGCAGCAAGGGAGCAAGGGTGGTATCGAAGCAGTGGAGGAGGATGAGGAAGGGGAAGAGAGGGAGGTGGAGGCGGAGGGGGGAGGTAAGAGGAGGTTGCTGCAGGAGAGTCGGGGAGGGGTGGGGGGTGGAGTAAGTGTGGCCAAGGGAGGAGGCGGAAAAGGAGGAGGAAGAAGAGGAGGTGGAGCAGGGGTGGGTAGGATGGGCGAGGAGGATTCGGAGGAGGGGAGTGAGGGCGCGTTTTGGAGCGAGGATGGAGTGATAGACGAGGCGGCAAGGGAGAGAGTGAGACGGGCGTTGCGTGCAGGGCGAGAGGGGCGAGTGGTTCCGGTGAGAGCAGGGAGCATCACTGCTGGGAATGGCAGTGCGGGGAATGGGAGTGGGGGGAATGGCAGTGCGGGGAACAGCAGTGGAGTTGGGAAAGTGGAGGTGGGAGTGGTGTTGAATGAAGAAGGGGGTCCTGTGGATGGTTTGTCGCAGATAGAAGAGAGTGACGATGGAGGGGACACGGGTGATGGGGAAAGCAGTGCAGGCGGGATCCGCAGCAGCAGCAGCAGCAGCAGCAGCAGCAGCAGCAGCAGCAGCAGCAGCAGCAGCAGCAGCAGCAGCAGCAGCAGCAGCAGCAGCAGCAGCAGCAGCAGCAGCAGCAGCGGCAGCAGCAGTGGCAGCAGCAGCAGCAGTGGCAGCAGCAAGGAGGGTGGTGCGGGCAGCAGTAGGTTGTTGAGTGGTCGGCCGCTGCTGGGGAAGGAAGGAAGGTGGGGGCGCAAGGAGGGGAAGAGCAAGAAATATGTGGCCATGCACCTGAGGTTTGACATGGTAAGGATGGGAGGCACCTGAAATTCGACATGGTGCGGATAGGAATCACCTGGAGCTTACCATCGCTGCTCAAACCTCTCTGTCGTTTTTCTGACACTACCCCTAACCCCTCCAACCGTCCCCAGTCTCTACCTTTTTCTCCTCCTTGGGGCATTGTGGCGCAGTCAGCGTGCTTTTGTGCCGAGACACGGGCGACTTCTCGCCCTCCACTCACCCACCCACCCACTTGTAATGAGGTGCCTTTTGAGTCGACTCAATAGTCACCTCGTTTTGAGTCGACTAAAAAGCTCGACTCATTACATTGTGGCGCACTCAGCGTGCCTTTATGTCAAGACATGGGTGAATTCTCGCTCTCCACTCACCCACCCACCCACTTAATCACCCACCCTCCATTCCACGCCCTCGCTCATCGGAAATGTGACAATACAGGACATGGTGGCGCACTCAGCGTGTGACTATGGCGAGACGTGGGCGGAGCGCGAAGCTTTATCAAAGTACCGAGAGTATGCGTGGCTGGGGCGAGTGGACAAGCTGCGCTTCTCCTCTGATGAGCTGCGCCTGGCCGGCAAGTGCCCCCTCACACCAGAAGAAGTGGGACTCGTGCTGGCTGCTCTCGGCTTCTCTGGCAAGACAAGGCTCTATGTGGCCACCTATCAGGTGAGTCGGTCGGTACCCGGTCACACTGAATGTGGTTGCGTGCAGCTTGCTCTGAGCTGCGCCTGACGGTCAAGCGCCCACTCACACCCGAGGAGGGTGGGGCTCGTGCTGGCTGCCCTCGGTTTTTCTTCTAAAACACGACTATTTGTGGCGACCTACCAGGTGAGTCCGTTGGTACCAGGTGAGTGGACGTGTGGAGTGCGGGTGTGTGCAGCTTGTTATGCCTGCGCCTGACGGTCAAGCGCCCCCTCACACCCGAGGAGGTGGGGCTCGTGCTGGCCGCCCTCGGCTTCTCAGCGAAAACTAGGCTCTATGTGGTGACGTACCAGGTGAGTCTATTCGCAAGGTGAGAGTGAGTTTGAGTGTGGACTGTGGGTGTGTGTGGCTTCCTCTGATGAGCTGCGCCTCGCGGGCAAGTGCCCCCTCATACCCGAGGAGGTGGGCCTTGTATTGGTTGATCTCGGCTTCTCGGCCAAAACAAGGCTCGATGCGGCGACGTACCAGGTGAGAGTGAGAGTGAATCTGAGTGTGGATTGTGGGTCCATGGCACGGTATGCGTCAACCTCTGATGAGCTGCGCCTGGCAGGCGCGGCCCACAGGAGATGGGGCTTGTGCGTGCCGCGCTCTGCTTCCTCCAGGTGTCGGGCGAAAAGCGGATTAAAAGTAGTCATTTTTGAGACGTCTCAAAAGTGTCCCTTTGTCACAGGGCGTGTGCTTGCCACGCTCTGCTTACCCCAGGCGCATGGTGGGGAGAAGTTGATGGTGTCAGAACTTGAGCTTAGAATCGATACTATAGTAGTGAGCTCAAAGCTCTTCAAGTACATCCGGAATGAGCAAGGTAGGGATGAGGAGGGAATCAGGAGGCAATCCTAGGGAATCAAGGGTAATCCCAAGGCAATCTCCAATTGGTGGGTTGGAGATTGCTTGGAGATTACATTTGGGTTTGGTTGGGATGTGGGTGTACACCCAACCAAACACAAAGTGCAAACTACACTAAACTAGGATATAAAAGTACAAGTACAAAATGTGAGATTGGGGCCTAACACCAACACCCCCCCTGAGGCGTCAATCGAACTCATGGCGGAGAAGGAGGAGCGCAGAGCCCCATGGCGCCAAGGAGACGATGGTGGGGAACCTTCCCAAGGGGCTTGGTGAACAGGTCAGCCAGGTTGCAGTCAGATGCCACGTATTCCACCTTCAGCTGCTCTTGTTGCACAAGGTGACGAATGAAGAAGTGCCGAAGTTCAATATGCTTGGTGCGGGTGTGATACACAGGGTCTTGAGAGATGTGGATGGTACTCTGGTTGTCACACCAGAGGGTGGGGGCTGACTGAGGGAAGCCAAGCTCTTGGAGTAGGAAGGTGAACCAACGGGCCTCCTGAGCAGCCATGGTGCCTGCGTAGAGCTCCGCCTCACAGGAGGAGAGGGAGACTGCAGACGACCTGGTGGAGCGCCAACTGACAGTTCCGCTCCCGAGGGTGAAGCAGTACCCCTGAGAGGAGCGCCGGTCGGTCTGGTCATCAGCCCAGGAGGAGTCTGTGTAACCTTCCAGGCGAGGAGGGGAGAGCCCACCGAGTGTGAGAACGTGGGACTTTGTGCCCTTAAGATAGCGCAGCACCCGCTTTGCTGCCTTCCAATGAAGATTAGTGAAGCGACCCGGGGCCACGTAACGAGAGAGAACACTGACTGGGTAGGCCAAGTCCGGTCGGGTGCACATCATGGCGTACATGAGGGACCCAACAAGTTCCGGGTATGGCTCAGAGCAGGCCTCTGGTGTGGGTACAGCAGGAGCTGTAAGGAGGTGTTGCAGCGGCAGCGGGGTGGCAACAGGTGTGCACAGCTCCATCTCAAACCGCTTGAGCACATTGTCGATGTAGAACTCCTGGGAGAGTGAGATGGTGCGAGCCTTGCGATCACGAGTGATCTCCATTCCCAGGTAGTGCTTGAGGTCACCAAGGTCTTTCATCTGGAGGGCCTTGCTCAGGGCTGCCTGGACAGAGGTCATTTGGGCCGAGTCCTTGGCAACGAGGATAAAATCATCCACGTAGACTAGGATGTAGAATGGCTCAGAATGACGACGGATGAAGAGAGTCGGGTCAGCAGTTGAGGGGTGGAAGTCCAGGGAGAGGAGGACTTCTTTCACCTTGTTGTGCCATTCGCGAGGGGCTTGTTTAAGGCCGTAGACGGGGCGATTCAGCTTCCAGACTGTGTTGGGAGGGAATTCTCCTGGGAAGCCTTCTGGTCTGTCCATGAACACTGTCTCCTTGAGACGTCCTTGTAGGAAAGCGGAGGAGGCATCCATGGATTTGATCTCAAAGTCTTCTCGAGCTGCAACATCCATGAGCGTTCGAATGGTGGGAGGTTTGGATGTGGGGGAGAAGATTAGGTCGAAGTCGCGGTACCGCTGCTGGGTGAAGCCCTTGGCTACGTAACGCGCTTTGAACACCGGTGCCTCGTCTGGGAGCTGTTTTACACGGAACAACCACTTGCCCCCGACGATGTTGACTCCTGGAGGTGGAGTCTCGTCATCGAAAGAGTGGTTGCGAGTGAATGCTGCAATCTCCGCGTCCATGGCAGCACGCCATTCGGCAGCATGAGGGCCTGAGAGAGCCTCTTGGACGGTGAGAGGGATAGGGATGGTCGGGTTCTCCGCGAGGTTGAGGGAGGGTGAGCCAGTGATATCGGGGAAGATGTGTGAGAGCTGAGGAATGACTGCATGGAGATCACACAGCTCCTCATGCCTGTCTTCTAGAAGGGTAGAGGGCACATCCCCCCCAGCAGGAGGAGGCGGTGTGATCATTGTGTATCGAAGAACCATTGCGAGTGGAAGAGCAGCGCGATGGGAGCGGGTGCCATGAGCCACCGGTGAGGAGGGCGGGGCAGGCGGTGTCGGAGAGGGTGACTTAGGAGGCTTGGGTGGGGGAATGGGCCGCCGGCGGTACGTGATCAGCTCGGGCGACTGTGGGAGAGCGGGTTCCTCTGTGGTGGGGGGAACTGGGGGAGGAGGTGGGGCCGGAGGGTGGGACCGCCGATGGTAGGTGATAGGTGCGCTCAGAGGGGGCGGCGCAGCGGGAAGTGAGGAAGGTGAGGGGGGGGGCGGAGCAGCCGCCGAAGACACCGGTGAGGCCGGGTCAGAGACCTCAGAGGGAGATGGTGGGATGGCAGGAGAGGGAGGAGGTGAGGGGGCAGGAGCAGGCGGGAGGTCGGGAGGCGCGTCAAAGTCTGCCCACACGAGGGAGGGTGGATCAGGGAGAGGGTCCCGTCCCGAAGGGGAGTAGAATGGGCGGGTCTCATCAAAGACAACGTCGCGGCTCCTGACCAACTGTTGAGTGGAGGGATTGAGGAAGAGGTAGTCAGGTGAGTCGGCGTTGTGCCCAAGGTAGATGCACGTTTGAGTCTTGGGACCGAGCTTGCCACCGTTCTGGCGTCGAGCCTGAGGGTTGAGGAGGACATAGGCGGTGCATCCCCAAACGCGAAGAGAGCGAGCAGTGGGCGTTTTCCCGAGCCAGAGTGTGGTTGGAGTGGTGTCGGGAAGGTGCGGATGGGGGTAAAGGTTGTAGAGGAGGGCGGCGTGGTAGAGAGCGTATCCCCAGAGAGAGTGTGGAGCGTTGGAGTGGCTGAGGAGGCACCGAGTGATCTGCACTAGAGTGTGGTTGCGGCTCTCAGCTATGCCGTTCTGTTGAGGGCTGTCAGGGAGGGTGAAGTTTTGCTGGATGCCTTCGGAGGAGCAGAAGGCTTTAAGCTTGTCGTTGCAAAATTCACCCCCCCCATCCGAGTGAAGGCGCTTGACCTTGAGGTCAAAGGTGGTCTGTGCCTGCTTGACCCACGCCATGATGACCTCTGGAGCCTCAGCCTTAGTGTGGAGGAGGTGAACAGAGACGTATCGTGAGTGGTCATCCACGATAACTAGGAAGTAGCGATATCCACCTCGTGCAAGAACAGGGGCAGGGCCCCAGACGTCCATGTGCACTAGGTCCAGTGGTGCCGCTGCGATTGTGGGTGAGGCAGTGTGGGGCTGTTGGCGCAGTTTGCTCTTGGTGCAATCAAGGCACGTGGGAGCGGGTGAGTCAGGTGGTGGAGGAAGTGTGGCTAGCAGGCCGAGAAGAAGTTTCTTGGAGGCCATGTCAGCAAGCGTGCGGAAGTTTGGGTGCCCTAACCGATGATGATAGAGGATGGTCGGGTTGGAGAGGCTGCGACATGTGCATGGTGTGATGGGAGCCTGTGCTTGGGTGGTTGAAACCTGTGGGAGAGGAACGCGTAGCATGTAGAGGCCGCTGCTATTGAGGGTGAAGCGGGCCAAGACCTTGTTGGTGAGTGGGTCAATGATGTCGCAGTGGTCCTCATTCTCCGAGAAGATGGTGCGTAGCCCTGCTTTCTGAATTTCTGTTTGAGCCACTAGATTGTGGCGTAGTGAAGGCACGCACATGCCAGTGACGGTGCCGGAAGGGAAGGCTGGGCATGGGACTGTGGAGGTGCCCTTGGCTAGGGTGGTGAAGCTGGAGTCAGCTCCCAAGAGAGGGATAGGTGCTGGATAGGGTTTGAAGGAGAGTGTCTCCTTGAGCACAGTGTGAGTGGCCCCACTGTCGAGTGTGAACTCTATGTACTGTGGTGCCTGTGATGAGTCGATGTACTGGGAAGTGGCTTCATTAATCATGGCAGTGCCAGGAAACAACAGGTTGATACGCACATCAACAGGAGCACTGTCACTAGCACTAGCCGAAGAGGGGTCCTGGACCTCAACGAGATTGGCCTTACGAGCGCGCATCCAGTTTGGCGGCTTCTTGTCAACCCCGTGGATGGCATACCACTCGTCGTCTTTCTTCTTGAAGCACGTGGCAAGGGGGTGGTTAGTGCCACCACACACTTGTCCCTTGCGGTTGCCATACTTGACGACGTAGGTGCACGGAGGAAAGCGGTTGCGCTGGAAAGGCGCCGAGGCAAGGGCTGCTGCAACACTTGCTAGGGGCATGGGAGCACGGATGGCGTATGCCTTGGCCTGAGCAGTGGAGTCTTTCTCGGCAGAGAGGAGTGCGGTGGAGACCTTAGCAAAGGTGAGGTCTTCCGCTGAGAGCGTGAGGAGCATCTTCCTCGTCACTTCATATGCCGAGGAGAGACCAACAAGAAGGGCGGCTGCAGGGGCTTGTTCGGGGAAGACTATACCCAGCTCCTTGAGTTCACCATGAATGGTCTGCACCTTGGCGATGTAATCAGCCATTCCTGAGCAGTCCTCAAGGCGGACTTGAAACATGCTGGGGATGAGAATCGCCACTCCGACCGCCGTCTTGTTCATGAACCGATCCTGGAGATACTTCCAGATGGCGTTGGAGGTAGGGTAGTTGTGGAACGTGTTGACAAGTTCGGGAGGGGTGGAGGCAATGAAGACGCTGATGATGGCAGCATCGGCCTTCTCCCACTTCCGGTACTTCTCAACAGCTTCTTCGTACGTCATCACGTCAGCATCACTTGAAGATTCGGTCGGTTCACGGGGAAGAGTGGGCTGTTTCCCCTTGCCACGGTTGAGGAGGACGTCCTTGAGGTCAAGGCCCTGCACGTCACGGCTCAGGAGGTGCTTGTCAACTCCGTAGCTCCACGCCTTGAAGTTGGAGCTAGAGCCATCGGCTTCAAGGCGGAGCGGGGTGATGGGGTTCGCCATGGTGGAAGACGAGAAAGCCATGGTGGAGACCCCTTAACTTCTCGCGCGGAGCGCCGCTCTTAAGTCACCAATAGGAACTTGAGGTTTGGGGTTTCCAAAGGAGATTTTGAAGAACCGGAGGTTTAGGGTTTACGAAGGAGAATTTGACTGAGACGCCAATTTAGTGTCAACTACCTACTAGTCCTATTCCCACACACCCCCCCACACACCACCCTCAGCTTCGCGGCTACGCTGCTGCTCGGCTGCGTTGCTGCACCTGTTCAGCTGCGGGAAAGAGGGGGGATGGGGGTAGGAGTGCAGATGCGGGGCGACGGGCGGCAGCCCGAAGATGACGCTGCGGGGCGACGGGCGGCGGCCCGACGAGAAGCTGCAGGGCGACGGGCGGCAGCCCGTCGAGGAGAAGAAGTGACGAATTGATGAAAACGAGTGTTAGGTTAGAGCGCCGACGATGCGCTTACCAGAGAAGTTTCCGTCGATGGTGACGGGAAGATTTGGCGGGAGAAATTCCGCCGATGAATGTCGCGAATCAACGGCGACGAGATTGGCGATGGCTTCCCCGAGGTTTGCGGGACAAGTATCCGCAGAGATGAGAGGATCACGATCCGCGTATGCGGTTGAGCTGCTCTGATTACCATGTCAGAACTTGAGCTTAGAATCGATACTATAGTAGTGAGCTCAAAGCTCTTCAAGTACATCCGGAATGAGCAAGGTAGGGATGAGGAGGGAATCAGGAGGCAATCCTAGGGAATCAAGGGTAATCCCAAGGCAATCTCCAATTGGTGGGTTGGAGATTGCTTGGAGATTACATTTGGGTTTGGTTGGGATGTGGGTGTACACCCAACCAAACACAAAGTGCAAACTACACTAAACTAGGATATAAAAGTACAAGTACAAAATGTGAGATTGGGGCCTAACACCAACAGATGGTACATGCTAACCTCTCGCTTCTATTGCACCCATCGCTTTCTCTTGCAGGTGTATTGGGTAGAGAAACGAATTGCCGCCTTGCGCCGCCTGTTCCCGCAGTTGGAGGACAAGACAAGCCTGGCCACGGAGGAGGAGCTGCGGCCGTTCCTGGGGAACGCATCACAGCCCTGCAACACCTGATGTAACCCCTGTTTCCTCGTACGCCGCAGGTGTATGGAGGGGAGAAGCGCATTGCCCCCCTGCGCCGCCTGTTCCCGTGGCTGGAGGATAAGACGAGCCTGGCGACAGAGGAGGAGCTGCAGCCGTTCCTGGGGAAGGCGTCGCTGCTGGCAGCACTGGACTTCTATGTGAGCCGCTACAGCGACGTGTTCGTGTCCGCCTCCCTGGGCAACATGCACAACGTGATGGTGAGGCATGCACCATGTTGTGAGGTGATGGGTTGAATGGTGCTTGCTTACCTTGTGAGGGGAGGGGGGTTGGGCAAGGGAAGACTTGTATGTCAGCCACTACAGTGATGTGTTGGTGTCTGCTTCCCTCCTCAACAAGCACAAGGTAATGGTGAGCTGCATGACATGCTGGTATGTGAGGGGATGGGTCAGATATGACTATGTTACATGAGGCGTCGCTGCTGGCAGCGCTGGACTTGTACAGTGATGTGTTCGTGTCTGCTTCCCTCCTCGACAAGCACAACATAATGGTGAGCTGCATGACATGCTGAGGCACCTCGACAATGTGATGATGAGCACAATGGGGATGGTGATGCCTCTCTGATATTCATCGTTATAGAGTCACCTTTCTGCTTGATGCACCCCCCTTATGTTTCACCGCTATGTTGTTTCCCAATGCATTTCAATTTCAGGCTGCACACCGTGCGTACTTTGGCGGTTTAAAGACGATCAACTTCAACGGTACACTCCTGGCAACGCTGCTTGCGGCCCCTCCAAACACCCTCAACTGGAACGAGTTCGTTCGCGCCGTGCAGATCGGGCATCGGTCGCGAATGGGCAAGATCAAGCCGAGGCGTGCCGGGCAATCCATCTACACCTATCCTGCTCCCGATTGCTTGTGCCCTATTGACGTACCACCGTCGCAGCCCGCGACTCGCACCGTAACAAGTGCTACAAACAGTGGCTTGGTTTCATTCACAGATGGTAATATTCATTCAGCCGAGGGTGAAGTTGGTAAAAATGAGGATATTGCTGTTGGTAGGGATACGAGAGTTTTATATGAAACTATGGATGTGCGGGACGTTGATTGGGACAATATGGGAGGCCAAAGACGATGATACGTTGTATGGTTCTGACAATTATGCAAGCACCAAGAATGAGCGTGTTAAGATTACAGGCCTTGTTTGAGTTAATCTTTTTGCATAATTATTTTCTGCTTTGGCTGATGGCTCATCTAAGCGACTGTTGCAAACGAAACTCGCAATGCCGCGCGTATTCCGCAACAGATCCCACAATCGAGTTTGCGTGACTTGGTGATTCACGAGGATTTGGTGGTAAGTCGAGTCGCGACACTCCACTCAGATCCCACTCGGGTAAAAGCCAGCACGCAGGCCGCGTGGTTTTGGTTAGGAAGTCGCGATTTGCTCTTGGCACGATCCGATCGTTTCCGCTGGCCGCTAGACCCATCGGTGCAGTATTGCCACAGCACTGTTAGACGGGGTTTTGCGCAGAGCCGATGTGAATTTAGAGTGGATGTGAAGTGGTCGTCACCTCGTTTCGAAGAAGCAGCGACTGTTGAGTCCACTGAGTGGTTCGAAGGTTTCCAAAAAAATATAAAAATAAATACATTATCCATTGAAACGTTTCAATTTGCACGGAGCATCACCAGAGTCGAACGAGGCGTGCAGGCATGGCGGCGAGAGGCAGGTTCGGCGGGGTGAAGCGAGAGAACGAGGGCTTCGACTTTCAGTATCGCATGTCCGTTGACAACAGTGAGTTGTGACAATAGTGAGCTTTGCCTAGTGCGATGTGACATTATTTGCCTTCTGCTCTGCTCGCTCCTTCTGGTTGATCCTCACGCGCCTTTAAGTCTGCATCTCGCCGCGTTGCCGGCTGCATTGTCGCCTCTCCCCATCTTGCGTGTTCTCTGAACTGTGCTGTGCGGTGCTGCGCGGTGCTTTGTGGTGCAGGATACAAGAAGGCAGCTGAGGGTCGTCGCCGACTGAGACTACTGACGACACTGCAGGTGAGCGATGAACCTGCGTCATCTCAATGTCGTCATGAATGGCATCACTCCATCGAATTATAAACTGAGGCATCAAAGAGCTTGCGTCCTGTATCATTGAGGATTCTAACAACATCGAGATTATTCACGTGACCGGCACAGTTTCAGGTAGCAACATCACAGGTTTCATTTTCACGTGACTGTGGGATCTAAGGGTCAAAGCAACATCAAGTAGCACCATTCCGCACCGTTTAGCACCGTTCAGAAATCACCGAGCAGCAAGCCGTTCCTCTCATCTGCCAATCCCATCCCTCCCTCCACCCCCCTCCCTTTCCTCTCGCTCTTCTCCTTCCTGCGAGTCCTCATAGCGGCCTCTCTCACTGCTAGATACCTCTCAATCTGACTGGAGTATCCCCATCCATGCCTCTACTTTCCCCATTCCTTCCCCCCCCCACCACCGCCAGTCGCTCTACTCCTTCCTGCGTGTCCCCACAGCAGCCTCTCTCATGGTTTTCCCTCTCATCACAGCACGCCTGCACGGGAACGCTACTGTGGGACTGATTATGACTCGACTCCTACTGTCATGCCTCACCTTTCCCCATCCCTTCCGTCCCCAACACCCCTCCTGTTGGAGTAGGCTAGAGCTTTTGAGGCGCCTCAAAAGTCGTTTGCTGGATTAGGCTAGAGGCGCTTCAAAAGTCGTCTGTTGGAGTAGGGTAGAACTTTTGAGGCGCCTCAAAAGTCGTCTGTTGGAGTAGGCTGGAACTCGCTCTGGCATTTATCATAGTGTTCTTTTCTTATTTCGCCATGTTCGGAGCAAGTTACACTTTCGGTTCAGTTTAGGTTCATTTCTTAGTTTCTAGCACAAACTGAGCACGCCCTAAGTTCAATTAGGGCTTCCTACATTTGCATCTCGACACTCTTTCCTTGAACCAATTCTCTTGCTACTTTCTCTCTCCCTAGCCATGGCTACCATATTTCTCAGCTTTAACACCTCCCACCACCTCCATTCACTCTACTCCTTCCTGCGAGTCCTCATAGCAGCTGCGCTCATGGCCTGCGCGCTTATCACAGCACGCCTGCGCGACAGCAGCACCCTAAACCACCAATGCCATGCTTCTCGTTTGCTCCATACCCCCACCTCCCCACCCCACCACCGTCAGTCGCTCTACTCCTTCCTGCGAGTCCTCATAGCAGCCTCGCTCATGGCCCGGCCGCTCATCACAGCACGCCTGCACGGCAGCACGGGTGGGGGGCCACAGGCGCTGCAGATAGACGTGAAGGAGTCGCTAGCAGCAGCACTGGGAGCAGCTGCTGCTCTCACAGGGAATCTAGGTATGTCTAATACCACAAGCACTGGGGAATGCAGTTATGTGTGTGTGTGTATCACCATAAGCACTGGACAGCAGCACGCATGGGCGAGCAGTGGCGCTGCAGATGGACGTGAAGGCGACACTGGTTGCAACACTGGGAGCAGCCGCGGCTCTCACGGGGAATCTAGGTATGTGAATCACAGGGAATCAAGGCATGACTGTTACAGCACGCTTGCTCGGCAGCACGGTTGGGCGAGCGTTGCAGGTAGATGTGAAGGAGGCATTGGCTGGTTGCAGCACTGGGAGCAGCTGCAGCTGCAGCTCTAACAGGGAATCTATGTATGGGTGTTACCACTTCATGGCCTGTCTCGCAGCACTGTTCACCAGTCTTTCCAAAGAAAGCTCTCCCCATGCCCCATCCCATGCCCCATCCCATGCCCCATCCCATGCCCCATCCCATGCCCCACCCATGCTGCATCCCATGCCCCACCCATGCCGCATCCCATGCCCAACTGTTCCCACGTCCCATCCCATGTCCCTTTGCAGCATCCGGCACATCTCGCGCGCGAGTGCTCAAGCTGTACGCCTCGCTCTCCCTCATGGCCTGCGTTGCAGCGCTCTTGCCCCTCCTCACTGGCCCTCTTGTCTATCCGGTATGCTCTGTCTCTACCCTCTTGTTTAACTGGTACTCTATGCCTCTACCCTCTTGTCTACCCGGTCCGCTCTGTCTCTGCCCTCTTGTTTAACTGGTATTCTATGCCTCTACCCTCTTGTTTAACTGGTATTCTATGCCTCTACCCTCTTGTCAACCCGGTACGCTGTGCCTCTACTCTCTTGTCTACTTGGTACGCTGCTCCTCTACCCTCCTGTTTACCCGATATGCTATGCCTCTTCTTTCTTGTCTACCCATTACGCTCTACCTCTCTTCCTTTGTCTAACCGGTACACTCCGCCTTGTTCTTTTGGCTATATCTTTGCACGCTTTCATGCTCTGGTGCATCAGAGAGAGTGCCAGTGTGCATGTGTGCATGTGTGCATGTGTGCATGTGTGCGTGCGTGCATGTGTGCATGTGCGCATGCGTGCTTGTGTGCATGTGTGCATGTGTGCTTGTATGCAAGTGTGAATGCACCCAACGCACCACAGCAGCCCAACACACCCCAGAAGCCCAAAACACAACCCCCTACTTTGTGCTTTGCTCCACCATCTTTCCTTGGACAGGGAAATTGAACAGTGATGTACAGTAGTTGCCTTTCCAATCAACGCAATATCACACAAATTCTCTCGGAAATCGTACAGAACAACACCCCTCAGTTGACTTTTGAGTTCTGCCGAGTGTCACCCTCTGATTGCGTGTCCATTATAATACTGGAACAGGAGAAATGGATGACTGTGAGGAAGAATGGTAGCAGCAACAGTGCGGAGGGAGCAGATAATCTGGAGCAGCTTTGGACTGCTGTAGCCACGGCCAGCATTGCCATTGACATGGCAGGTAACCACCAGAGATTACATTTTTTTCGTAACGCTTGCTGTTTGGCAATGTGTTGTCGTAAATACCCTCCCTAATTCCTGTATTTCTTGTGTGGGTGGATGTCGCCCTGGCTGTTGCAGGAGCTCTGCTGCATCTCGTGGTTGTGTATGTGTCGGTTTCTATGGCTGCTGCGTTTTCCACGCCGAAGTCACAATGACCTGTGGTTCGACACTCGAAGACTGCATGCACTATTAGCCCCTGATACACCGGTCGTGATTGTGTGATGCATTTATTCTTGGCGAACTTGTTTTTGGGTGAACAGATCAGTCACTCACACGTGAACGAGACTCTTTTTGTATTATTGGCGTGGCAACAAATGATGCTTACTATGTAGCAATTTTACCTTCAACCCTTGGGTTCAAACGAAATTTTGAGCTGAAATTATAAGATACACGTGTATGTTGCTGATGCAGATGTCTGAATTCTGTAACGAATCATTCTCAATATACTCTGGTTCACACTGTGTATGTCCAATCAGCATGTGAATCCACCTGAAATCACGGAACGGAACTTGCCAATACAGTATCCCCATCAGCTTCACGTCAGTGTGCACGCCGCCATCCCCACAAGGACCCTTCGCCATCAAACTGCACCAACCCCATCCAAGCCATGGGGCTCAACCAATCACCGTGTGCGCGCAAGTCCTGTGTGGGTGTCTACTCCTCCCTTCCTTTCCTCCCATCCATAGCGCCCTCACCATCATCTCTAGTTGTCGAATGTCGGCTTTGTGATGAAACCCTAGCGCCTGCCACCCTCTTGCGCCAAAACTTCTGAGTCCTCTGGGGTTTCCGAAGCAGAATGGCAGACTCGGAGTGCAGAGTGCAGTCATGGTCCAGCTTCTGACAAAGACAACAAGCCCTCGGTTCGGTTCGACTTGATGGCCCCATGGTTTGGTGGCATTCGTCACGAAGGGTCTTGCTCTCTGCACACTGTCACCACAACCACACGTATCTCGCGCCAAAATCTTCCTGTTTCCCCTCGATGACTCAACACGCAAGCTGTTTTGCGCCAAAAATGGCGAACCCACGGCATCTTCACCCAAGCTGAGTGCCAGGCCCGGCAAGCGATATTCTGACGCCCAGCCGACCGAACCAGCAGGGCGACGGCTTTCTGCGCTGGTTACAGACGTCGCAAACGGAGTCTGTGAGCAAGTCTGCCATGAGATGATGTAAAAAACCCTCATCGTGCCTGTCTTTGCTCAGTTCGCCATTACCATGCCACGTTTTCCGTCTTCTTGAGTTTCTTCTCTCCGCTTTCCCTTCCCTCCTCCCCTTCCCTCTTCCCCGTTTCTCCTCCCCACCATCCCCTATGGCGGCTGTTTTCCCTCCCCTAGAGCGGCCCCCATCATCCACTCCCCACGAGCCCAGCCCCTCCCCGTCCCTCCTCAAGCAAGTAGTTTCCTTTAGTTCCGAACCGCTAACAGAAACCAAGTCCAGCAAAAAGCATGGCGCCTTAGCTCGTTCCACGCAAGCACGCAGTCAACCAAGCACCGTCCGTAAATTAGTTTCTCCGCCTAACTTCCCGAAACTCGGCCAAGTGACGCCGCGCGGCATTCCCAGGATATCCGTAGCTGACCTAGTGTTGGAAGACGGCCCGACCACATCATCCTACACTAAAGCCGCCGAGACGTTATACCTTTCCTTAGCTCGCCACGGCGCGGCGGTTATCGAGCCGGCACGCGACGATGTAGCGCTGCTGTGTAGGGCGTTAGAGTCGACGCGTCTGTACTTTCGGAAACGGGCCGAATCGGAGTCGTCGCCGCTGAAACCGTCAGAATGGAGCGACCGTGGCGGTTACTTCACCGCTCCGTCCAAGGACCTGTATTTCTACAAGGCTGGAAGGTGTGGAACATAAAGCTGCGTTATAATCGCCATTTAGTTCCGAAGTTATGTTTTGTAACGCGACGGGTTGATTGGGGATATTAGTTTTCACTGCCCTTTTTTAATTCCGTTTTTATTTTGTTTATGTGTGTTTGACAGGTCGATGAACGAGGGACTGAACGATTTTTGTCCTCCTGGTTTTCCTGAAGCCTTTCGATGCAGTGGACGCGTTTCACGGCTTGCCATGTCCGCCATCGCTCGGCACCTGAAGCTTCGTGGCGAGTAAGTCATTGGCGAGTAATTATATGTATTTTGTGCGTTCAACGTGGTAGTACTTCCGTCGTGGTTTTGTTTCGTTAATTTTGTTGGACTGTTTATTGAGTTGTTTTTTCCTCCTTTGCCTTCGGCGTTTTTACAGCTTCTTTTCAGGGTTGCTCGACGACTGCCCGTTGCCGGTCGGCGAAGTATCGTCGTCCGTTCTAGCCGCGACGTGCCAAAGGAGAGATCCTATCTCCGACCATTTCAAACCCGACGACGCGCATGGAAGCGTTTCAGAGGCATCGGAAACCGAGAAGGGCCTTCTGATGCTCGTCACAGCAGATTTCCCGGGCCTTCAGGTAACCCGTTTGTTTACGAAAATTATCGTTTTCGTTACTATTTCGTTGTCGGAGGCTGTGTAACAATCGACGTTCGTCGCGCAGGTGTGCAATTCCGAAGGTGTGTGGTCACCGGCGGATCAGGGCGTGCCGCCGGGAAGCCTGCTACTGCTTGCCGGCCGTTGCCTTCATCGCGCCACGGCCGGGCTCTGCCCCGCCTCCACCTACCGCGTGCTGCCGCCCGCCTCTGCGGGAGCCACCAGGTGACTTGCGAAAACGATTTTTTCGTGTTATGTTTCTTCTTTCCAAAGGTTATTTCTTATATCGTGACATTTGGTTGACGATTTTCCAAAGGTTATTTCTTATTTTCGTTGTCGTTCCGCCTGATGCCGCGCCCTTCAGCGCCGATTGACTGCTCTTCGCTGATTCACGCGGGTCACGCAGTCCCCTCAAGCATGCGAGCCGTCGTTCACGCTGGCCCATTTCTTGATTCGCTGAGCTCCTATGCTCACGATCCTGCGAGCGAATCGAAGGAGTCAAGCATGGTGCGCCTCGTGCGTTTGTATATTGCCTTTGCTTTCATATGGTTTATGATTTTAGTGCTTTCTATTCTAACATATGGTTTTTTCCATGATGTTCAGGCTGTTGCGTGCAAGTTAGAAAAGGCTTCACTTTCGTCAATGGTTGTCGATCCTGCCTCGTAAGTGCGTGCGGATTTCCTGTTTTATGACTATACTCTCGGTCATAATCTAAACATTTCGTTTTAACTGTTTTCCAGAGGGTCTCTTCTCGAGGATGCAATGATTGCTCCGTGTGGCCATTCATTTGGTGGAGCGACACTCTCTCGAGTCATTGATTCTGTAAGTGCTCGTGATTGGCTTTAGAATCCCCCCATCAGCTCTTTTCTTCCCCACCCATCTTTATGGGCATCAGCCCATTCCTCATGCACTAGATTCTCGTTTTTTTTCTAAGCTGTTCCACGTGTTCTTCGATCCATGTGCAGATGCTATGTCCTTATTGCATGGCCTCGGTTGACACCATGACTCTGATTCCCAACCTTGGTAAGCAGGCTTGCTTTCTTGACCACCCATCCACATCTCTCGCTTTCAGTGTTTAGAATCTGAACATTCTTGTCAAGGTAACGGAAGTTTATCCGAACATTCTTTCTCCAATCTTGCAGCCATGCGGTCAGTTGCGTCTTGCTTCCGCCCGGGCTTGTCGCATGGAGGCGGCGTGAAGGTCCCAAAGAGAAAGCGGGTGAAGGAGTTTGGAGAAGGGAAAGACCCGTCAGAAGCTGTCAAACGCAGACCTAAGGTGATGCATGCGTGGTGTGAGTCTTGACTCTTGACATTTTTGCATCTTCAGATTTCTTGATTGAAGTCATGAATGCTGATTCGCCTTCTTCTTTGGATTCATGAGCAGACTGAAGATGCGATGCTTGCCAGCTCATTTGAAGGAGACACATTTGGCCGTCCAAAAGGAGTACAGTTCCCCTTTTCTGTCAATGACAAAGTTCTGATCAAGGTAACCATTTGTTTGCATTTGATTCTTCTTGAAGTTTAGTGTTTCTGGTTACTAACGACTTGTTCATTGTTGCAGGGAAACAAGCGCACTCCTGAGAAGTTTTTCGGGAGGGAGGCAATTATCACGTCTCAGTGCTTGAATGGCTGGTATGCTCTAGTTTTTTCCCCTGCACCATGCGAATGTTGTGTCATGCGTGTTACTGATTTGACTTTGCCCTGGATTTGCAGGTACCTGGTTCGCATGCTTGACTCTGGGGAAAGTGTTCGCCTGCAGTACCGCTCTCTTCAGAAAAGTGGTGAGTCCCATGTGTGCCACATGGCATGATTGCCATTCTTGAATTGCTGTTCATTTTTGTTGTTTTCCTGCCACCTTATTCATGTTTCGTTTTGTTGTTACCCTTTTACAGATGGAACACCTTTAGAGACTGGCGACGCTCGTCTCTCTAGCAGTCCGGATGCCCAGATGGAGAGGAAGGCTGGAGCAGACTCTACAGAAAGGTGGTGGGAGTCGAAGCCTGCGGTTGGAGAAATGTCGGCATTGCTGCAAGAAGATGACAAGGATGAGAAGCTTGGTCGACCGCTTTCGCTGGCGCTAGGAGAGGAGTCTGTCCCACGACCCTGTCCTGGTGGAGCTTCGTCCTCTTCTCTTCATGAACAGCCCCCCCTTTCGTCAACACCCAGTCATCCTGCCGTGAGGAATGCTGTTGATACGCGAGCAGCACCACGTGAGTCCCAAGCTTACTTGGGAGCACATGGATCAAGCCTCGCCAAGCAGACCCAAGCCTTGATTGCTGCAGCAGCAGCAATGGAAGAGGAATCAAGAGAGGCAACTGGGGACGACTGTGTATCTGGTGGTAACCAGCAGTCATTTTCTCCTCGTGCCAACCAGCCTTCACTTGCGCATGAAGAGCAAAATCCAGGAGTTGTGGAAAACAGGCAGCGGGGTGTTTTTGCTACTCCAGATTTGGCCAACAGGCAAAGACCAGAGCAAGCTGGCCCCCTTCCTCTCTGGATGTCACCAATAACGGCTACTTCACTCTTGCATCAAGCAATTTCGGATGGCGCTAACAATTCAGGTCATGGTGGTGGTAGTTAACTGCAGACTTCCAGCTTCTTACCAGCTAATCTCGTCTAATCGTAGTCTAGTTTGGTGATCAACTGACTTCACTGACTGACCGACTGACCACCTGATTGACTGATCTGCATTGCCTTGTTTCTGAATGGTCTTTTGGTACTTTCCAGTCAGCATGAGCCAGCTGATTGGGTTTCTTGTTTTATGGGGTGATTCTGTTGTTTGTTAATTTTGTTAAGGCTGCCTGGATTGCAGCTGCTTATGTGTTGTTGGGAGATTTCCTGCTTTGCATGGATTTGCATATTCTGTTGATTTCAATTCCGTAAACACAATCTTGCAGATGTATCCATGCACTTTTACAGACGAGAGGGCCTGTTATAGGGTCCAACCACAACGGTACTGTATCAAATGGCTCATCGAAAATCGTGAATGTCTGTAGTGCTGGTGCGATGCATGTCGTCCACACAAGTTTGACAGGAAAGGCTGCGCCAGCGCAACCTTCACCACAAAACTGCGATCGCGAAACCCCCTTTGGTTTCACCACAGGTTTCTGGACTTGCCGAACCTCTCATTCAGAAGCGGCGTGTAGCTCTTAGCTGACGAGTTTCGTCCCGAACCAGTATGGCGAAAGGTATCACCGCTGGTTACAGCTCCTCGCAAACGGAGAAACGGCATCTTCAACTGTTCCGTTGGTGGAAACCCCTCATTTTCAGCGTCGCCTATTTCCTTCGCTTCACTGCTCCAGCCCGCTTCTGTCTCACGTTTTCCGCTTTCCCGTCTCTTCCCGTTCTTTCCACATCCATGCTTTCCATTCATCATCATCCATTCCATCATCATTTTCATCCATTAGGGTTTCGTCAAGCAGCACAGCAGCAACATCTGTTCCGTTCTGTGGGCCATCCATCATCTGAACTGAAGCACCATCCCTCACTCCCCTCCCCCATCCTCCCTCATGGCTTCCGCCATCCCTTCAATCCCTGAGCAACATCCCCCAACCTCCTCCGCAGTCCATGATCATCCTCATGCCATATTACCACCTCCAGCAAAGCAAATGGTGATAAAGGAATGCCAGCCCAAGAGTGCAAGGAAGCGTAGCTCTCACGGCCGGAATTCGCAAGTTAGAGCTCAGGCTAATGCTGTAGAACCACCGGCAGGTGAAGCAGTTCAGATCGCCGCATTCGCGACGCCGCGTGCCGTTCCGAGGATATCCGTAGATGATCTTTTATTAGAAGACGGTCCGCCGTCGTCGTCGTTTACCCGCGCTGCCGAGACATTGTATCTTTCGCTTGCACAGAACGGAGCAGTGATTCTGGAACCCGCGCGACACGATGCCGCGTCCTTGTGTAGAACGTTGGAATCCGCGCGGCTTTACTTTCGCCGACGAGCAGATCCGTCGTCGTCGTCGTCGCCGTCATTCCCGGAACAGCCTGCGTGGAATGACGGCGGAGGTTACTTCCAGGCACCTTACAAGGACTTGTACTTTTACAAAGCCGGCAGGTCGTTGAACGAAGCAATCAGCGACTCCTGCCCACCGGGGTTTGCGGAAGCGTTCAAGTACTTGGGGAAGGTCTCGCGGTCCGCCATGTCAGCTCTCGCTCGCCATCTGAAAGTCCGCTGCGAGTACGTCCTCCTATTCCTGCATTGAGACGTTTCTTGAGACGTTCAGCTAGTTGTCGCTGATGCGTCTCAGCAGTCGTCGTGTGGAGGTTCGTTCCGAAAATGTCGTCTCGTCTTCTCACCGTCGAGTGTGTATCTCGTGTTTTCGCCCGACCCGGTTCACCAGTTTTCAGCAGAATAATTTTGTTGTTGCCCGTGTTCAACGTCGGATTTTTTTTGTTAATTGCCATTATCCTCCTCGCAACTTCCCTGCAGTTTCTTCTCGAGTCTGCTCGACGACCTTCCGTTGCCGATCGGCGAGGTGTCCTCCTCCGTGCTCGCCGCATCATGCCAGCGCATCCAATCTCCTCGAGACGATTCCGCCAGAGTGACACCGGATGCCACTGAAATTGAAAAGGGGCTTCTCATGCTTGTCACAGCCGATTTTCCAGGCCTCCAGGTACCGTATACACCATTAGTCCTGCAGGGTTAGCCAATGTGCCAGCCTGTTAGAGGTCAGATTTTCAACTTTTGCCGCTGTCGTTTAAGGGTGCATTGCTGCGGGCGCTGCTGCTGGCAGGCGTGCGGAATTCGAGGATATGTGGTAGCAAGCAATTTGCCATTTTTTTGGCGCAGGTGTGCAATTCCGAGGGCGTCTGGTCGCCGGCGGACCAGGGCGTGCCGCCGGGAAGCTTGCTGCTGCTTGCCGGCCGTTGCCTCCATCGCGCCACGGCCGGCCTCTGCCCCGCCTCCACCTACCGCGTGCTGCCGCCCGTCTCCTCGGGAACCACCAGGTATCTTATGTTGAAAATAAGAATTACAAAGGGGTTTTTCGTTCTGTTTTTCCTATCCAACTGTGCTCCCGCCCGCGTCGTCGGAAGCAACGTCGTGAGAGGTCCCTTGATGGTTTAGTTGAATGTCATTTCTTCGGATTGACGCCCGTTCGAGTCTGTTCCCAACCCTTGTGCTATGGTGCCTTGGCCTGCTGTACCTCGGGCCGCTGCAGGTGCGCCCTCTCGTTCCGCCTTATGCCGCGGACGGTCGCCGTGATTGCCTGCGCCGTCCTTTCCCCCTCA